GCCTGCTCTGTGACGAGAACAAATTTAAAACAGCCCTTTAGCGGAAACATCCCTCGCTAGGGCAGGCACCTTGCCGTTGGAGCGAGGCTTAGCTGAATCTCCATTCAGCCCTTCCCTGGACTGGGTAACGCGGCCGCTCATGCAGCTTCTGGGCTGCTGGCGAACAGCGACCAAGAACTGGCGCCTCCTAATACAAGGTGTGACGCGATACCGTGCCTATTGGACGATTTGCAGCCAGGAAGTTAAACCGACTGTATTTTAACGGCGCCTTCTCGACACCCGGCCGCCTCGAGGAGTAACGGTGGCCTTTCCGCGACAAGAGGCGCTGGCGTGACGGACGTTCGGGATCCCCAGCACATTTGTAGACTGCTACGCCTGGCAGGTCAGGTACGCGGTCGTAAGAAAAGGATGAAGACAACTAAGAAACAATGAACCAAAAAATAATAATAAAAAAACAACAAAGAGGAAACAAATACAAACAAAGAAACAAATACGGAAAAGAAAGGGAAAAATAAAGAGGAACGGAGGAAGACCTTCTTGGAAGGCCTCTTCGAGGCCGAGACAACTCTTCATTGAGCACGCGAGAGAAGACGATGTGCCCTCAACGTGTAGTAGTATATTCCACGAAAGGTCGTTGAGAGTCATCGATGAAGACAAGAGGTACAGAGGTAGGCACCACAGCGAATCGTCACGTGAGCGCACACAGGTCTCCAAGCCAGTCCGGCTGAATAATATCGCGTGAATCCATGCGGCGTGAGAGAGACCGCTACATGGATAGGCGGGCGAAACCACCAACAGTCACATGCTCAGGGCAACCCGGCGCGCTAGACGGCCGTAGGCAATTTGGTCTTAGCGGCTCCAGAACGAGGCACTAAATAAGGTGCCTACAAAAAAGTAAAGCTCCCGAGGAAGCCAGGGAACTGGCTCTCGCCAGATCGCCCCAGCAGGAGTCGTCGCAAAGAGTGCGATGGCAAAGCGACCGCACCCTGGAATGAGCGGAAGAGCGGGCAGCACCAGCAACAGGGTATTGAGGTAACCGGCAGTCAGACCGCACCCGCCGAAAAGCGGAAGAGCGGGCAGTACGGCGAGTAAAATCCTGATTATGGCAACCTAACTTAACGGGACGTAGAACTTTGAAAATCAAAATGAGACAGATCCGACGTGGCATTAAGTTACGTTAAGTCTCGGCTGTTCAATTATAAGCAACATCCATTTAAGAGAATGTTTAAGTGAGAGCCTGTAAGTTACGATAAGTTGCCATAATCAGACCATAAGCAGAACCCAAGCCCGCTGAAAAGCGGCGCGATAAGCAACCCCGCGATTCGGGCAGGAGACGATAGGCGCGCTGGCGAGACCGCACCTGCTGAAAAGCGGAGAAGCGGGCATTATCGCCATGATGAAAAGCACGGAGACCAGGAGAAAAGGGTAAGAGGTTTCGGCGAGACCGCACGCGCTGCAAAGCGGAAGAGGGGGCAATTAACACCCCAAAGTCTGCTCCGAAGAAGCAGCGAGTGCTTTCACCCCTCCCGGCATCAGGACCCGCGGGTTGGCACTGGGGCCCAGCGGAGGACAGACGCGGTGCTGCCTCGAAACTATTCCGCAGAGGCGCTGAGTCCGGAGCGCTAAATGGCTGGAAGAGGATGCACCAAAACTACGGAGCTGGAAGGGAGTTTTACTATGCGTCAAACGGGGTAATGAAATACCACCCATGCATAATATGACCATCTTCCTGCCGAGAAGTGCTGACAGATTATGTGATGGGGCTGCTAAGGGCGTAAAACGAAGGTCTTAACACACCAGCGTGGCGCGTCATCTCGAACAGCATTGAGGATACTGGCCTACGTCTAAACGTGGGCGTGGACGAAGATTCCTTCAACAGCGTCAGAAGGACTGAGTAAGCTGAACTTTAGGTTCAGCTACGTCAAATGAGGCCCTGGCGTCAAAATGCAGCAGAAGAAGATAAGGAAGCTGAGGAGAAAAAGATGTAGGTGGACGAAGATCCCCCCGCTTCAACAGCTACAGCGGAAGAGGACGCGCAGGTTTGTCAGCCCGCATCTCCAGCCCAATCTTCTAACACGCGGGGTACCAACCAGCAAGTTTCAGCGGCTCTTACAGAGGGGCAGGTCCCCTCAACGCAGGAGCTGATGGAGGGATTAGACCTAAGAAGGCTTGAGCTCGGTGGGAGAAGCAAGAGCAACCAAAGGCGCTCGGACCCCGACGAGCGATGAAGAGGCAACCACCGCCCTTGAAAGTAGCCCACATCAACCTGCACTATGCGATTGCAACCTCGGCTGTTATTGCGAGCAAATTTTCTTCGGATGAACTGGGCATTATACTTATTCATGAGCCGTGGACCTACACAGGCTAGGTAAGGGGTCTCAAAGAAGAACATAACAAGGTAATATGGGACCTAGCCGCAGAGGCCACTATCTTAGAACTAGACCCCGACAGTGTGGCTGGAAACTGGCAAGAAGTATTTTCACCCAGAATTCAGTCAGATGGGCGTTGAGCTCGATTGAGCGCAATAAGGTCCCAGGGGTAGATGGCATCTGTCCAGTCATGCTACAGCAGGGTGAAGAGGTCTTAATACCACACCTAGTGCACATAATGAGAAACAACCTTGCGAAAGCTTACGTTCCGTGCTAAGCGTCTGGCAGGAAATCCTGGGGATAACCCTTGGTTCCTAAGATGGCTTCACTTCATGATAGTACAGCCAGACACAATACCATCAGGTTAGCGCGGCCATAGGGGAGCAGAGGGTAATGAGGTGGCTGGCTGTCTCGCTAGAGAGGCGGCAGCCATCACTCCAGTTGGCCCACAGCCCTTACTGAGAGTAGGTCCCAATACAATAAAGGAGGAGCTTAGGATACAGAGGTACACACTAAGAGATTTAATCTGGCGCATTTCGGGAGGAATGCATATTTAAATTTTTGTCGTTTTCCTCTTTTCAAAAGAATGGCCCTATTATAGTCTAAAATACAATAATCTTGAAATAAACATACATTTTTTAGTGGTGAAACCAGGAAAAAATGACTTATGACATTTTCATTATAGTGTTTTCATTAAAAAATTCATTTGATTACTTCATTAAATACTACACAGTTGAACATATTAAAAAAAAAATTTAAATTAAACCTTATATAGAACAGATCTGTGGAAGAAAATCCTGTTTTACAAAACAAAAATCGATCGCCTCTATGGCTTTTGGCGTTCTTTTAAACTTTAGCATTCAATTTTTACTTTTCAGAGCGCTGCGTCAACTAACATTTTCACACTAATCATAGGAACAGATGCAACGGTCGGGACCTGGCTTGGACATATTTCCATAGCTGAAACATCATTTTAGCCAACCCAAGAGAATAGTCGATACCTTATATTTGGATTTATAGGCACGAATTTGGGACCAAATATCACTGTGGGCCGAGCGTGATCTATTTTTTTCGTCCTTTTGAACAACTTGCAATAGCACGCAATAAAAGATATATTAAACCGAAAGATTTTATAGTAACACATAGGCTCATTACAATAATGTACGTAAGTATATCGAATAAAATGTTTAGTTGTTTTTTTTGTTGCAGCGGCTACAAAAACCCCGCCCAAATCGGTTAGTCCCACAATCGTTGTCGTCAAGCTCTACTAGCGGTAGACCCAGGAAGCATGCAGCCTCGATGAGGTATGTCCATATGCCGAGAGTCCATATAACTCGAAGACTGCCTCTCTGTAAATGCCGTCGGTAAAGACCTGTCGGTAAGCTGACGGAACCAGAGGCTGCTTGATGAATCTCGGGACTTTGTCCGTTAGTTCGTAGAGATGCTTCCTGACGTGCCTTGGCGAGGGCTCATCAGCGATCATTTGTCTATTTGTGGCTCCCAACTAGAAACTGCCTGCAGAGCATTGTGTTATGCTCCATAATAGGGAGCATATCGGCTTCGTCGTGCAGGTGATTTTGCGGCGACATCAGAAGGCATCCTGTCGCTGTCCTGAGTGCCGTGTTTTGGCAGATCAATCAAACGTGTGGTAGAAATTCATGATGATAAGATATTTACAAGTATACTCCTAAGCTTCAGCACAGCAGATTTAAATTACAAACATACCAACTAAATGGTTTTGGGAAATCGACATTGAAGTTTGATTGTTGTTTATTGTTTATTACTTTAGAATTCATTAAGGATTCTTTAGTAAAATTTTACGTATGCGACATTTGTCAAAAATTCTGCAGCCACTTTGTATCAAATACGACAAAATGTTTTAGTCAATAAAACTGATAGCACCGATTGAAAAATTTTGTTTTAAAATATATAACTGCATCTATTACCAAAAATCGTCAGAATGTCGCTTACGATAAGTTTTATAATGCAACGAAAGATAGTGTAAACAAAGTTGTGCTCTTTTATCCCTTCCCCATTTTTGTAATGTAAAATCCGACTCACCATGTATAACCAGTTCGGAGTCACGATTGATTTCATACAAGCGTATGGCCTCGTCCAATTCCATTTGCGTAGTTATAGTACAAGGATCATTCTCTTCGTCCACCCATTTAATGGTGAAAGGCTGCAAAAAAAATGTTAGAATTTTTTTTAATTAAACATTCAAAACTTAGCTGAGGGGATCATGCTTACCTGATCAGATGGAAAACGGCATATGCCGCGTATCTCATGGCATAGATTCTCATAAGTAATATTTTCCTCTATGTAGGTTATCATTATTTCGCCATTGTAGGCCGTTTTCACTTTGATTTCATTGGTGGCACTGTTGGCGTTTGTGCCGTCCGGAATGATTTGAGAAGGCATTTTCTGCATTTGTGCTTTGAGAATGAGTAATTTTTTTATATGTCAATATGTAAAGCGTTGAAGGCACTAAACTTTTTTCACGTAAAAGTTTATCACACTTTCGATTGTGGATGTTATTATTAAAAGAGTAAGTTCGAATGAACAGTAGCTGCAAAAAGATAAAATGGATAGCATTTAAAAAAAGCAAGTAAAAGTTTATCATAAAATATAAATTATTATTGTTCACTATGCAAATTAAAAATATCTCTTAAAAAATTATATTTCCTACTAATGTCCGCTACAGCGTGGCAACCCTGCTGGTGTGTCACACAAGATTTGAGTGGGCGATAATAAACTCATATGCGCCAGCATCCATCCGCCCCTTTCGCAGTGTGACAACGAATAGCGATCAATGAAGACGATGATGAAGTTGAATTACAAAATGTAAACAAATGCGAACGTGAATCCACAAGTGGTTTGTTCCCAATGAAGCTAAGTGGATTCATATATCATTTACAAAAAGAAATAACACCTCAAGTCGAAAGGTTGACTTTAATATATTGGGCCCTTTAGTTTGGGTAACAATAAGAATGGTATGCATATTATACATATGTTGTTATTCCTCATTTCCACAGATAATATACATATATATGTAACACGAATGCGTAGACATGTCAGCATTAATTATGTAAATAATCATGGAAAAGGAACATCAAATTGTTTTGCGAAAACAATATTCTAGTAAAAAATAATTGCAACAATTCTTTTCAACTGCGTTCGCCCTTTAAAGACTTTCAGGTGCTGTGGCAACACCTTAACCAGTAATTGGACTGCCCTTTTTAACTATCTTCGCTGCTGCCAACCGACCATGAATCATGAATCATGCAACAAGTTGATTTCATTGAAATGCTTCACTGTGCCGGCCGAAAGATATGTAAATCGTTAGCACGTTTTATGCGCAACCAGCACTGTTGGAGGCAATTAATACATAGAAATGTATTTTACAGATTTTCCTGCTATTAAGTTCGGAATTTGGCACAGGCTATTTGCCACAGCTCCATCAAAAGTGATTGACAACTTTTCTGGGGTACGTTCCAGCGAGTCTGGTGTTCCACATAAATGAAAGCATATTTTTCCGTACATTGACCATTAACGAATGGCGCCATACAACAAGCGCAGAACATTCGTAGTGCTTCTGATACTTTAGCACCGTTTCCTCTATCTAGTTTCTCTGCCACTATCGGCTTATGTTAGTTGCTTTTCTTCATTCTATTTAACAATTTCCTGCGTATTAGCTACAATATATTTTATCCGCACAGCTCCACACCCCGTGTACGTTCTTGGCCAAAATGAATACATAAGTATGTATTTGAGTGTTTGTATGAATGTTCATATATCTACGTGGTGAAGTCGCCGTTTTAGGCCAAGTCTACTGTTACTTCACCTTTTTTCTACATTAAAGTTACCTTTCTTCACACCTCGTCCACTCCTATATCTAACATTTGCCACTGCCTAATTGGTTTGCAATTCTTTTCTCTTCTTTTTCCATTCACAAATTTAAAACGATGAAAGCTTTCCAAACATGACGAGTTCACTTTAATCACAATTAAAATTAAGACATTACAAAAACACAGAACTAAAATAAACAAAAAAATTAATTACGGCTTAATTTGTTCGTGGCCAACAAATTAATTTAATTCAATTGGACGAGCGGCACGGACAACCGTAAACAAGATAAATTCCGAGTGTGCGAAGAAAAATGGTAGATTATCAGAGTTGCCATTTCCAAAGCGCGATGTTGCATCCAATGTTACCGCTGACAATTTTTCGAAAGTCGCAAAAAAGTGAGACTCGACTTTATTTCATCAGATTATTTGTTGGTGAGCTACGAAAATGATCACAAATAACTTGGGGAAATGCTGAGCTACAACAACGGTGCACTAATTCTGGCTATTTCTGGAAACTTTTGCGGACAAATTTTGACATAATAAAAAGGAAAAAATCAGTCAAAATCTTTCTAGAGATGTAAATTTTAAACGCCTTTGAAAAGTAAATGCCAAAAGCATTTTTAAATATATAAGAAACAAAATATATTTAATGAAAAAAATGGTCAAAATGTGTATATAGAATTTTTAATCTAAGAAAAGGGGCAAACGGCGCATGATCTTTAAGAAAACTTTCAAACTAAGTGGGTTTCAGGAGGCATCGATCTCTAAACACTGCTTGCATCCTCTTTGCAGAAATAATCGATAAAACTAGCTTGGACACCGTAGAGTTAACGGTTTACAACCCTATTCCGGTTTTGCAATAGAATGACAATTGATCAACCTTCATTGTCGTGATTTTGTCATTGTCGTTGCACGTTGGCATTCCTAACAAAAAATGACAGGCGAAAAGCTTTTGTAAACTTACCATGCGTGGTGAAAAGTTCATTGTTGTACAAACAGTTGGTCAACGTTACTATTTGCAAAAAATATGAGCGGTGAAGCACCAGGAATGTGAGTATTTATGTGAAGTAAATAAAATCGTATATCCGTAGCAAAGTGGAAAGATGTAAGTTTTGTATATTTACATACATACATATGTATGTATTTATATCTTTCATTTATGCAGGAACACATTTGCATGCACACATTATTTGGCAGACATTAGCGACGTGGAGAAATCAGCTACGCTGCAGAGCACGAAAAGTGCACGTGGATGTAATTGGAACAGGTGGGGGACCACGGAGGGCAGACATCCCTCATTTTTTTCACAAATTTATTAAATCATCGCATTTTTTATATCAACACAGACATATGCTTTTGCCTTGTCTCCTGCCCAAAAGGTCATGACAATAAAAATGACAATTGGCATGATTCGAGCTTTTGAATTTTCCTGCGAATACCAAAAAGCTGCAATTGTCATTTTTATATCAACTGTCATCGCGGTGAGTTTTGTCAGTGTGGCGGGATAGGGCTGTTAATCTGAGATTAGTTTGTAGTAACAGCTAAACGAGGGACCAATTTCTTTTTCTACGCACGAAAATAAAGATAATCTACTTATATGTAAACCTAGTATAAGTGGATTATTTAAAATGTATTCAATGCAGCTGGCAACGTGCGAAACTTTTCTTCAAAAACTTGGTAGCACTGTTTTGCTCATCTGTTTCCGAGTTGTCAGATTTTTTCATCAGTCCGAAAAGTTCTCTCCTGAAGTCTACGTTTGTTTTTCGTGTTAAGTGATAAGAATTTCTAATTTGCGATTTTACATAAAATAATGCTATTCGTCAGTATATTTCTATAAATTGTAAAAGCAACGATTAAACTGTGACAAAAATAATCAAACAGCTTCGTTAAATTACTAAATCGTTTAGTGGACATTGCCACGGTTGTGTACGAAAAATCCAACGAGTAGCTGTGCGATTTTGGTAAATGAACCGAACGTGATTTCTTTCTATTTTCCGGAAAAAAATACGAGGGTGTGCGTCATAACCACCAGTGGTGGTGGTGGTCCAACACAAGTATCTGCAACAGCATTTAAAGAAATCATCGATTATTACTTGGCAATACATATATTAAAAAACGGATACCAAAAAAATCTCGAAAAATTTGCTAGTGCAAACATTTAGCTACAGATTTTAACTAAACTTTGACTACAACAGCGAGTGTGTAATAAAAATAGCCAAAATGATTCGCCTGAAACATTTTTAAGTAAACGTAAAATAAATTAACATTAAAACAAAATACCACAATTTTACGTCACACCCACTATTGCCAAGGCTAGCGGAACGCGGGTGCATTTATTTAAAAACCACAGATATATTGGAGATATCGGTGTGTGTTCACATTTAGAAGAAATTGGCAAAATCGGTAAGTTTATATACATTTACATTTATTTAAATAAATATCAGTGTAATAAAATTACACTATGGTATACATGAGATTTTTAAATATTGATGTATTTTGCGCAGTACGCATAACTTTTTCGATTTTTAAGCAGCGCTCTAATATCAACCACCCACCTACCATGGGCCTCATCCGCACAGTTTTCTTAATTATGTACATAAGTAGGGCTCGGAATCTCATGCACTCAAAATTCAAAAATATGCGCCATAAACAAGTAAAATATGCAGCTAAACATATTTTCGTAATATTTTATTGCCGGTACAAAAATTATAGCACATATATTTTAACAAGAAAATAACGAAAACAACCCAGTATATAATTTCAGTAGTTAAAAGTCCTTCCGAAAGGCCTTCCTGAGAGACAAGGGGTTTTCCACTATACATTCCTTTCTCCTTTAGTTTTTAAATGGAGTGGCACAGATTGAAGGGCTTCTTATTTCGCTACCCATAAAACGCCTTCCGGAAGGGCTATATAGGACATTATAGGACATACTTCATTATGGGACATACTTCAGAAGGCCTTTTGGAGGAGTTCTTTTAAAGTTGCTTCTTTAATTTATAAAAATCATACATCTTTGAAGTATTTACTTAAGGTTTATATCAAATATGTGTTATTGCAACTTGAAATTTTTATTGAAATTGATTTGTAATGCTAAATAATATAAATTTATGCATTCGCGTAAATTGTAAATGAATAAGCCCTTCTAGAGGGCATGCAAGGAAGTACTTTTTCAGCCCTTCTTGGGTAGGGTTCTTAGAATGGCTTCACTTAAGAAGGCCTACCTACATAAATTATATTTTGGGAATTCACTTCAAAATACAATACCTACATATTTATAAAATTAGTTTATAATCAAGCGGTCAGATAAAAGCAATGTTCGCGTACGCACTATCCCCTAAAATCCAGCACTAATTTTACTGCTTTTTACTGGATCGCGTTTTCGTAAGCAAAAACTTGAAAGATACCAGCAAAAGAGAGAATTGAGAGAGCAAATATGACAGCTGAACTTGCCAGTTTTTACAGGAGTTTTACTGGATAAATTTTTACTTGTAACAATTTGCCAGTACGAAAAAAACTGATCGTATGTTTCTGGATGCAATTTAAAGGAAGATGTTTGTGGGTTTTTATTGTTAAAATTGACAAAATAAACCCATTTTAATATAAAGTTTAAGGTTTTATAAGGAATTCGCTGCAAATAAATAACCAATTTATCAGATGTTCATGAAACTTTCAAATTATTACTGGACTTGCGTTCCCAGTGGGAAAATGTAATGAATAGCAATAGAAAAAATAAGTAATCAGTAAAACAGCCGTTTTCACATTCGAAAATGCACTATTTTTCCCACGGCGATGTCCTAGAAAAGTGGACATTCAATTTTGCATTACCAGTAATGCAGGAATGAATGCTATTTAATATGAATTTTTTGGGCCAACGGAGCATTGCCCTGTGCACACTGCAGTAAGTTAGTAGGTAGCGTTGGTCTAAGTCGATCGTAGGACATCCAGAACTGCCGGGTAATTCTGTACGATCCTGTACGGTTCCACATCTGCTTAGCCGTCGAGTAATACATTGCGGTAATTGTTGCTTTTATCTCTAAGCCTTTACTGGAAAATATGCAAAAATATGCACTAACAATTGAATGCCTTTTTAAAGGAAATTTCATGTTTCTTAAAGATAATTTAACCATTTTGATTTGAACATGCGCAATAAAAACATGCATTTGCATGAGATTCCCAGCCCTTAAAAGTATTTTGTGTGTTTTTATGTAGACACTGAAATTTTCCACTTCGCATGCCCGTTTGTTCGGATTTCAATTTACTTGCCACACCGTACCCCCCCAGCTGTGTGACGAACGGTTTACTCTTCCTATTTCTGTTTTG